CTCTCTGTGCCTTGGGAGCTAGATGTTCCCGCCTTCTCAGCCATTTCAGGGGAACCTGAAAGTGAAAGTAGCCACCATCACTCTCCTAACAGAGCCCCAAAATGGAGCCCTACCCCACCCACATCAACTGAATCCGGTGGGGAAGAAGTAGGCTGTCTATTGTTGCTCCCTTTCCCGAAGGCCCAGCAATAAGGACTGAGGAGGGAATGTAATGCAGAATGGGGGGGATGGGGACGGAATAAAAAGAAGGTTGAACTCAATTTTAGTGCAGAACGTGTGTGTGTGTGTGGGGGGAAAAGAAGCTTGGAGGACACTGCGGTGAACACGGAGGAAAAGGAGAGTGCAGAAAGGTCCTCAGTGAGATTCTGCTGGGCGAGACGTCCCCTGTCTTGGTCTCCATGTTAGCAGGGCGGTTCTCCCAGCCGATTGGATCACTATCTGGGACCCTGATTAAGCCGTGTTTCCTGCCATTGGTCTCCAAGTCAGTTCTGAGGCAGGATGTCCCTGGGCTAAAGAGGGGGGGAGTGTGATGCATTATTAAAGACTCTGGACGGAAAGATTCCCTTTGAATTCAGGACTGTCCTAGAGGAACAGTTAGGGTTCTCCACTAACTTCAGATCGGTGGGGAGGTTTTGGGTATTCAACGGGGCTCTCAGACGCTGCACTAAACAAAATTCAGAATTAGGGTGGGGTGGGGCGGGGAGTTTCCTCATCCAATAGGATATTCAAACAGATCTGATTGGTCTCCATAAGTCTTTATGTGTCACCATTTAAGCACACAGATTAATTTAATCACAGCACAGCCCAGAATTTTTCTTTAGAGCACCAGGTGTAATGACCAGGTCTGACAACGCGGTTTATTTAGTTATTTATTTTTCAACAAGAGTCCTTAATGCCGTTTACTGCAAAGATAGTGTAAAAATACAAAATCAGACATCAATGTTGCTTAAGTATTTCGTTTAAAAAGTGTTCATAACATGAATGCAACCAACATTTACTTCTTCAGGTTACTGGACTACTGGTTTTTTTTCTGCTTCACCTTCTTCAGCCATGGTGGTGGTGCTTTATTTGTCTGTAAACATTAAGAAATACATTCAAGATAAGTAAAGCAACAAGCAGCAGTGTTCCAGCTTGCACAAACTGTGTACATGAGGCATAAAGTAAAGGTAAAGGTTCCCCTTGCTCGAAAGCCAGTCGAGTCCGACTCTAGGGTTGCGGTGCTCATCTCAGTTTCAAATCCGAAGAGCCAGCGCTGTCCGAAGACGTTTCCGTGGTCATGTGGCCAGCATGACTAGACGCTGAGGCGCACGGAACGCTGTTACCTTCCCACCGAAGTGGTACCTATTTATCTACTTGCAATTTCTTGCTTTCGAACTGCTAGGTTGGCAGGAGCTGGGACCAGAGACGGGAGCTCACTCCGTCATGTGGCACACTCGGGTCTCGAACTGCTGAACTACCGACCTTCCACAGCCTGCAGTTCAGCGTCTTAACCACTTGAGCCACCGCATACTTGCATATATTTACTCGTTTTGCATAATCTATTCTGCCGGTTATAAGAGGAGTCTAAGAACCATAGAAGGCAATGAAGCCCTTTCCCTGAGCATAGGAACCCGCACATTCAGCCTCACCATAGACTCCCTCGGTGCCGCAGTGTTCCCTGTAAGCTGAGTTAGCGTGAGCTAGCTCACAGTTTTTCAGCCTCCGGCTCACAGATTTTTGTCTCAGCTCAGGAAAGATGGCTCCAGAGCAAAATAATTTATGCAGCAGCCAAATCGCTCGCTCACGACTTTAATGCCGGTAGCTCACAAAGTAGAAATTTTGCTCATTAGACTCCACAGCTTAGAGGGAGCATTGGGTACGATATGTCAAATTTTTGCAGAAATGAAACGAAGCTGGAATCGTGGAGTTTATTCCCCCATCCCATAAGGCTCCAGGAGAGGAGGTGTAGCAGTCAGACCCTAGCCTCTCGATCCTATTCGGTTCTCCATTGAGATCCACTTGAATGGGTCCCGTTTTGAATGAGGGCACTGGAGCTAGAGTAAAACCCTTTACTGGATGGGGCGCTGTGGAACTGAGCCTGTGGCCCTCTTAAAAAAAAAGACTATTAAAGAGCCCTCCTTCAGGGATTAAGTGTTTGCTAAGGAGTTGGGTGAAAACATATTCATCGTGTGGAATTGCTCCGTCTTCTGTTTGGTGTAGTGGTTAAGTGTGCGGACTCTAATCTGGGAGAACCAGGTTTGATTCCCCACTCCTCCACTTGCACCTGCTGGTGTGACCTTGGGTCAGTCACAAGCTCTGGCACAGCTGTCCTTGATAAAGAGCAGCTTCTGTCAGAGTTCTCTCAGCCCCACCCACCTCACAGGGTGTCTGTTGTGGGGAGGGGAAGGGAGAGGAGTTTGTAAGCCGCTCTGAGACTCCAAGTGAAGAGCAGGGTATAAATCCAATCTCCTCTTCTGTAGACAACAGGAGAGTTACTTGGGGCCATCTCTGCACTAACTACAGTTAGGGGAAAAACAGGGGGAGCGGGGCGGGGGGCCAAAGGTGCTGCCCCTCGTATCCCAGAGCCCAGTCCTCAGCTGCTCCGGCCTGTCAGCGATGGACTTTGGCTCATTAGCTGGAAGAGCCTCGAAAGAGCTGATTTAGGTCTCAGTAGAATCACTGTAAGGTCCTTTCTGCATTGGCCGGCCACTCCGGATTTTCGCGGAGTTCGAGTCGAGGCAATTTAAGTCCAGGGCAAAACAGCCTCCAAATAAACCTGAGGCAATAGCGGGCTGAAACCGGGCTGACCACTGAAGGGAGGGAATGTAATGCAGAATGGGGGGGATGGGGACGGAATAAAAAGAAGGTTGAACTCAATTTTAGTGCAGAACGTGTGTGTGTGTGTGGGGGGAAAAGAAGCTTGGAGGACACTGCGGTGAACACGGAGGAAAAGGAGAGTGCAGAAAGGTCCTCAGTGAGATTCTGCTGGGCAAGATGTCCCCTGTCTTGGTCTCCATGTTAGCAGGGCGGTTCTCCCAGCCGATCGGATCACTATCTGGGACCCTGATTAAGCCGTGTTTCCTGCCATTGGTCCGCAAGTCAGTTCTGAGGCAAGATGTCCCTGGGCTAAAGAGGGGGGGAGTGTGATGCATTATTAAAGACTCTGGACGGAAAGATTCCCTTTGAATTCAGGACTGTCCTAGAGGAACAGTTAGGGTTCTCAACTAACTTCAGATCGGTGGGGAAGTTTTGGGTATTCAACGGGGCTCTCAGACACTGCACTAAACAAAATTCAGAATTTGGGTGGGGTGGGGAGTTTCATCATCCAATAGGATATTCAAACAGATCTGATGGGGCTGAAGAAGTATTTGGTACAAGCTGTTGACTCTACTGGTGGCTGAGGGCTTAGGGGCCTTTTGGCACCACTGCGACAAGCTCCTATGTATCTTCCCATAAATGGAATCCCATAGTACCCTTCTGTTCATGGGAGGCACCAGTGGATCTAGCTTCTCATTAACATCCTGGGGAAACACGCTGTGATTCCACACTCTGTGCCACCTGTTCACACAGTGAAGCGGACTTCGGTGTTGTCCAGCAACGTTAATGGAGCATTCTCCACAGGAGTAAGAAATTCCTCTTGTGTGAGGCAAATGCAAGTGTGTGTCGTGTGAATGATAGGACACAACTGTGCGTTCAAGGGGCACATCTCTGTCTTCCCGTAACATGCTACGCTTGTTTTTGAGGTGACTTTACTCGTAGGCTTTGATAATGGAACTACCTGTTAATGTTTACTGGGATATTGCAGCCTATTTCTGCTTGTCAAGGTCAAATATTTCGATCAAGGATCGCGGTAAGAACCAAGAATTTGCAGCACACATGAATCCTCCCCCCATTTTATCATCACGACAATTCTGTTTTTTAAAAAAATCTGTTTTATTTTATTTGAAAAAGCATTAAGTCAGAGATCATACAACAATGCAGGTTACAGAAACAACTATCACAACAATTCTGTGAGACGGGTTACACTGAGAGGGGATGGTTGATCCACAGTGATCCACGGTGGGGAATGGATATGAGCTATTTTTTTACTTATCTACTTTATACGTACCATGTCCGTCTTCCACAGATATTGCAGCCTATTTCTGCTTGTCAAGATCAAATATTTCGATCAAGGACAACGGTAAGAACCAAGAATTTGCAGCACATATGAATCCTCCCCCCTTTTTATCATCACAACAATTCTGTTTTTTTTAAAAAAATCTGTTTTATTTTATTTGAAAAAGCATTAAGTCAGAGATCATACAACAATGCAGGTTACAGAAACAACTATCACAACAATTCTGTGAGACGGGTTACACTGAGAGGGGATGGTTGATCCACAGTGATCCACGGTGGGGCATGGATATG